GCAATGAAGTTCAAGTTGTTTCGTCTGCATTTGCACATAGCATTGTCCAAGCTTTTCGAACTTTTGAACAAGTATGGGAAGAACTTGTCGTTGACATAAGGGAGGGAGTCTTATCGAGCCGTGTCACAGTCCCATCTATAAGATTGGCCATGTCGAAACTGCTGAAGCCTGATCCAGAACTGGCTGATACAATTTATAGCAAATGCTCAAGTTTAAGCAATTGGTATGGCTTGATTCCTAAACTCTTCCCGAATACAAAGTACATTTATGGTATCATGACAGGTTCCATGGAGCCTTACTTGAAGAAACTGAGGCACTATGCAGGGGAATTACCTCTAGTGAGTGCAGATTATGGTTCTTCTGAAGGATGGGTTGGAGTAAATGTTAACCCAAAATCCCCCCCTGAGATGGTTACTTATGCAGTGTTACCAAATACTGGCTATTTTGAATTCCTCCCACTCGAGGAAAATCTCATTGGCATGGAGCAAGCAAATTCTCCTGTCTGCCTGACTGAAGTTAAACTTGGTGAAGAGTATGAAATTGTCTTCACCAATTTTGCAGGTACAATTTTCTTGCACGACTTCTCTTGAAAATTCTATGCTCATCAAATTGAGGTCTCTGTTCATATATGAACTATGGAGTGAGCACAACATGATAAACCGGGGATAATTGAGCATATTCTTATTATTCAGTGATTCTTCCCAGTGAACGAGTTCTGCTCTAATTTTATTGACTGCCATGTAATTCAGCTTAGACTTGTGGAGTTTAGCATGTCCTTAGTCTTCGTACTTTATGGCAATATTGTTGGAAACATAATCAGTTAAATATGCCTGCCTGGCATAAAATACTAAATTCTGCTAAGATAGAAAAGAGTTGTCGTTTGCTTTTATGCCTTATTCTGGGTCTTTTGTCCATGTTCTGTTGTACTCATTTGTTCAACAATACGTGCATGTGCTTGATATTCATTTCCTTTTGTTGTTAAGTACTTCTATATAGAATGCTGGAATCTTTTGCATTTTTCCTTCTAAGTTCCACATAACAAATTTATTCAAAATAACAAGGTATCGGTCTATCTATTGTGTCATATACAAGTTTAGCTATATGTAGTGATAGTATAATTGACTACACTTATGCATTTGCATATGCAGGTTTATATCGTTATAGACTGGGTGATGTTGTGAAGATAAAAAGATTCCACAATAGCACTCCAGAGCTCCAGTTCGTCTGTCGAAGGAACCTTGTGCTGAGCATTAACATAGACAAGAACACCGAGAAAGATTTGCAACTAGCTGTGGAAGCTGCAGGCAAGCACTTAGTTGACGAAAAACTAGAAGTGGTGGACTTCACAAGCCATGCCAACATCTCATCTGATCCAGGACACTATGTCATCTTCTGGGAACTGAGTGGGGAAGCAACTGATGAAATATTGCAAGAGTGCTGCAACTGTCTGGACAAATCGTTCCTCGATTCAAGCTATGTGAACAACAGGAGAATGAATACAATTGGGGCACTTGAACTGCGGATTGTGAAGAGGGGAACCTTTAATAAGATATTGGATCATTTCGTTGGATTAGGAGGCGCGGTGAGCCAGTTTAAAACCCCTAGATGTGTTGGTCCAAAAAATAGCTCATTGATACAAATACTGTCTACTAATGTTGTTAAGAGCTATTCTAGTACTGCTATCTTTTAAATTTATGTATGTATCTTTCCAAATTTGTAGTCCTGCAAGGATTTCTTATCTAAATAGTGTAATATATATCTATGTTTTTTTTGGACTAATATCTATATATAGAGAGAATTGACGGTGGATACAATCATTGAGCATAATTAGTAGTGGTTTGGGATTGCATTTGTATGCTGATGAATGCACAATGAAGGTAGCTAGAACCTCCTTAGCCAAAGTTTTGATTTAGCTTGATATAAAAAAAGAACTCCCAGTTTCAGTTAGAATGGAGGATCCAAATGGAAGAGTGTTTGATCTGAAGGTGATTTATGAATTGATACCTGTATATTGTCCAAAGTGTCTCCAGGTTGGACATAAATGCACAACTCACCTAATGTACAAACCAAACCCATTGTTCGTAAGGATAAGCCACAAGCTTAAAAGTGTCAACCTAAACGGGATGACCAGAAGTTGCCAAATCTTGCTGATCCTATAGGGTTACAGTTGAATGAGTGCCAAACGACCCCGGTATAATTGCACATTCCAACAGTGAACTTAAGGCAGAGAGACAAGGGGAGCTGATCAAAGAAAAGCAGGACGATAAATGGACGGAGGTAAGACGAATATCAGCAGCAAGAAGTGTGCAGAAACCTTTATTAATACCTGGTGTTAATAGTCTGAATGATTTCAGCCATATTAATTCTACATTTGTTCAATTTTTCTGTAATGCAAAGAATAGAAAGTCAATTATGTTACAAAGAAATTAATTCTTCCGTCCCAAAACAAAGAAGAGTTTCTATCGAATATGATGTAATAGCTTTTAATGCCATTAACATTCAATATGAGTTATAC